TCCATTGGCATACTGCCGCTGCAGTGATGCCACCCTTGTACATACATATAATATAAAACTCAATATCCTCCCTTCCGTTGACCTTGGTCAAATCTGCTTCTACGTCAACTTCGAATTTGGATATTGATTTTTGGTGTAATCGACAGCATGGAAGTGGATCGTTGTTTGCGACTTGGTTTTGATTCTTTAGTTTGCGCACGTACCGACCTATGATACTACATAGTACTAATATACTCGGCCCAAATGGTAAAATGATGCTAATCGTATGTTAGCTTTAGGCTTCTTCTTGTAGTTTAAATGTTTTTAATACCGCCTTCAGCTCAAGACATCACCAAGCATGGGAATAGTGATGTTTTCCCTATTTAGTGATTGTTGCTGATGTATTGTCTTATTCATTGGGCTCGAATAGATGTTCACATGAGAGTATTTTAAGCGAGTAGTCAACGCATAACCAACACATAATAATGTAGTGGTGCGCTTAAGTACACACCTTGGAGGTAATGTCATTAACCTAGTGTCTTGTAATAGTATTCGCGAATGCTATTTGTTGTATACTGCGTTTAGCTTAACAGGTTTTCTCGTCGCAAATACTTAATCATTTAGTGCTACAGTTTGAAGCCATAGTACTTTCAAGTTGAAACGTTGCCAGGGATGTATCGGCTGCTTCCAAATACCGTTGTTTGTGTTTACAATTCGCACCAGTGGCCATTCCATAGAGGGCATGTTATCTTCTTTTATGATAACCATAGTGCACTTTTCAACGTTTTCAGCTTCAGTTTTCCATTTATAACGGTACAACAGTTCGACAACAGTCTCCCAAATCAACTGCATAATCACCCAAACATAACAAAATGTACATTTTCGGTTAAAAACAAATGAAGACAAACCTTATGAGCAAAACAAATAATATTATTTGCATACAAATTGTACACACATATGTTACACTGCTTACAAATTTGCATACCTTTATTTAATGCGCAAAACCAACCATCTTTCTAAATTTGCTTAAAAAATTCGGACCCTCGCATAAGCAAGTGTACAATAAGTCAAACAAAAACAAAAAGAAGAAATGTATACACATTCGCTTATTTTTTATTTTTATTCCATATTCCATTAGGAATATGGCCATGTTGTCGTTGGCCGGGTTCCCTGGTGATTCCATGTTAGCGCTGCGTGCAGAATATCGTCATAAGACTTACACAAGGTATGGCCTATCCACCCATATTTTTCCTATTGAATATCAACATTCATAGACGTTTGGTTAGTTTGCCTCCAGAGTTCTTCATTTGACATCGATTTGGGGCACCATATCTTTATTATGTTTAGTAAGCAGCGGTTGATTAAAGTTTGAAGTGTCTTTTTAGTCTCCTTCGTTACAAGCCAAGTCTATAATCCATATAATGACAGATTTAACGCATGCATAAAAAAATTTTATTTTTATGTTTGTGCGAATGTTGTGTGCACGCGAAAGCTCCTTTTGCTTTTTGTATTCGATTGCTTATGTCCTGTTTTGCGCTTCCGTCTACATCATTCACATCTTCGCTATCAATTGTGAAGCTGGCTGTATTATTGGATTTTATGCGCATTGATTCAATTTTGATTATATTTGGCTTTTTGAGGATTCGTTATGCAACTGGGTCAGTTTTGACTGCATATGTTGGTGATTACGCGAGAACAGGACAATGTCATATGCGTATTCTAGATCTTCAAAGTAGAGTTAAGCCTCCAATTGATGCCTCTATTTTGCGTGTTAAATATTCCAGTACCCAGTCTAATACTACAATTCATAGCAATGGTGATAGGATGCAACCTTGTTTGACACCATTGAAGGAGTCAAAGGACTCACTTAACTTAAAAGCTTCCGTTCGAAGCTTTTCTTGTAATGCTTATAATTTTTTGTGACACTCCTCTTCTTCTTAAGGCTAACCATATGCAGTCTCTTTTGATAGAATCAAAAGCTTTCTCGTAGTCGAAGAATACTGCATCAATGCATGAGCGATTTGGCCGAAAACCCGATTGCTGTTTGCGAAGTTGTGCAGTGATAAGATCTACAATGTGATTTAGCATTACTTTGTTAAAAACCTTGCTCACAGCTGGGACTAGTGCTATTCCTCTCCAGTTGTTGCAGTCAGAGAACTTACCCTTTTTTGGAATTTTTACATTTATCAATTCTTTCTACTCTGAAGGGATTTCTTCATTGTTCCAAATATTTCGAAAGAGAGGATATAGCATGTCAGTTGTGCAATCGACATCGGCTTTCTAACATTCAGCTGGAATATTGTCGACGCCAGAGGATTTACCATTTCTTGGTTGGTTGGAGGTTCATTACATATATTGCGTAATGGTCGCCTTGGTTGACTAATTTGGAGCATATCGTTATTAGTTGTTCACACATTGAAAGTCTTGTTAAAATTGTCGCGTCACATCTATAATTGTTCCTCCTCCATACTTATAGAGTTTTCATTGCTATCTTTTAAAAGCACAGTTCGATTGTTGTTGTCGTTAGATAGTTTTCTGGTGATATTAAATACTTCTCGTAGGTCGCCTTTAAAAGCTGTTGCTTCCTCTTCGACAGCCAATTTGTCATCGAACGCCTTTTTATCTGCTCTTGCTTGTCTTTTTATTTGTTTAGTAAGTATTGCGATCTCTCTTCGCAGTGCCAAAGCACTTTTTAAGTTTTCTTTACACAATAGCAACTTTTTTTTTGTCTTTCTGGTTTGAACTAATTGTCAGAATAATGCGCTTAGTCATTCATAATTTCTCGTTTCTTTTTCTAGCAACTCAGTAGCTGCTTCTAAATTGCTTATTCTAGGACGATGTTCAAATCTAGTGCGTATTGATTAAGAGAAGTCCATCTTAATATTACACTTCTGAAGTTTATGGAACTGAAATCTTTTACTGTCAGACATATTCTTACGAGCTACCGATGTGATTTTTTGTATCATTTCTGCTACAACAGGGTAGTGATCACTATCTACTTCCGCACTGTATTTATTTCTGACATCGAGTACAGTGTTAATCCATCGCTTACTGACACATATATGATCTATTTGAAATGTTTGACTTCTCAGTGCCGGATTAGGCACAGTCCACGTTATTTTATATATGTTTTTTTGAAGGAAAAAAGAACCGCCAATCATAAGTCCATGATTGGAGCATGTTTCTCTTAGGAATTCGCCATTCTCGTTTTTCTCTCTAATCCCATGTTTTCCGATCACATGTTCATTTCCCGTACTAACGGCTCCTATATGTGTATTAAAGCACCCATCAATATTACCAGATTGTTGCGGTTGATTTGTGTAAGCATTCTATCTAACAAACTGTAAAATTGTTCTTAGGCTTTGAATTTACTTTCTTCTGTTAAAGCATAGTATTGGACAATTGTTATTTTGCGATTTTTTGAATTTAGTCGCCCTGTTCTGATTCTTTCAGATATTGCATGCCATTTAAGTAAAGCTGGTCTTATTTTACGACTAAAATAATTGCCAACGTCGTTAACATGTGGGCCTTCCAAATTACTCATGCCAGAATATACCACCAGAAACCATTTGCAGTACGCTTCTCGCCGGAGGTGTTCCACCTCTTCTCACTTTTTCCCATTACACAGATATATAGCTTTTTGCACTCAGTTGTTAACTGCGCTAAATTTCCTGATTGGTACAGAGTCCTCACGTTCCACTGAGCAAATCGAGTCTGTGTGTGTAAGCCAGTGTTCGTCATCAAATAGTTCTGCCGATTTATTTCTCTTGTTGTATTGTTATTGATAAGAGTTGTTCTCAAAAATCATAAAGTATCAGCCTTTAATTCTCAATGTTTGATGGTAGGGCTGCTACCTTCGACGCATATTTATTGGACATGCCGCCTCCAAACTTGCCACATTCACCGGTTTTGCTGCAGTCATTTCCTACTACAGCAAGATGTTGGCATGGTTATATCTCCACGTACTCGACCGCCAGAGCCTCTTCTCTTCACTATTGCTTTCACGCAGTTGTTTTGACTGTAAATATGTAAATTTGACTATTGCTGTCGGTTTCGGCTATGACGTCCACAATCGTAAGCATAGTTAATGAAACTATTTTGCTTTTTTGCTGTTGCTTGTGAATTTTGCTTTTTTCATTTTCGTAGTTATAGCCATAGCAATTAGTCGTTTCACAAAAATTGACTGCACAATAGTTAACCAATAGTTAAATTTTGTTTGCTTTTGCTACTTCTCAGTCAGCAATTAAATACCCTGCTTAAGGTGATACCTTGTTGATTTGCTAGCTGCTTCCTATATGCCACCAAAGAGCGGTGCACGAGGCGGGATAAAATGAAATGTCATTCCCTTATCAGCACAAAATCAAATAACTTGAGTCTGAGAGGTTAGACTATATGTGGAAGACTTGAGTTCTGCTAATTGTTTGTAGGACCCAACAAAGTTCGTGGCATTGTCGCAATAGAGATATATATTCGCACACCTGCCTCGCCTTGATATGAATCTGTGAATAGCACCTATAAGCGCATTGGTTGTCAAGTTACTAACGATCTCAAGATAAATAGCATGGGTAAAAAACAGCAAAATACCGCAATGTAGACGAATTTTGTAATGAATCTACACTGGCCCCAATAAATCCGTTCCCGCATTGAAGAATGGTTTTGGTTTTTCGTTTTAAATATAATACTTATTTTTATGTGAAAAATGAAATGCAAATAATAATTTTACTTTTAAATTAATTAATTAATATAAGGCAAATTTAATTATTTTTTTGGTTTTATTTTAAAGTTCAAATATATATTTTATTAACCATACGTTGCCAGAAGATCAAAATTTTAAGGGTAGGAAAAGTGTAAATTGATTTTTAATATAAATATGATATCAGACAATTTTTTAAAATAGTTGCAAATTTGAAATCAGTATTTTGTTAAATATATATTGTTAAAAAATAAATTTATGTAAATAATATATGTAAATGCAGAGAACAGAATCAGAATATGCAAAACCTTCATATATTGAAGTTTACCTGCGTAGTTGAGTTTCTATGTTCAGTTTGCAAACTTCCATCACTGGCATAACTTATAGATAATGTTCGAGTTCTGGACCAAGACCGCTGAAAAAATCAAATATTTAAAAAAGATTTTGTATTGAAACAGATATTTACCTGACGTTCAGATTCCATTTTATCATTATTTGTTCCACTCATACACCGAACAAGATGAGCTAAAATAGCTTTCACCCATCTGATTTTTCCACAATTTAAAAGTTCCATTAACTGTTTAGGATGATATTGTGGCAACACTGGGCAAGCAATTCTAGATGCTTGGAAAAGCCCAAAGTCGGTCATATAATCTTCGCTTGGTATGTTATCAGAACTACAGACTATATTACCAAAACTGGTGTTACCAAACTTTTTCTTTTTATCACCAGAAAGCAATTTCAAGTTCGTAGTACTAGCTTTATTTATTAAAGCTATGGTAGATGGAGTTTTAATCCGTATATGAGTAGAATCTGAAACTAATGACCTTAAGTCATCGTCGCATATATTTCTACTATCTACAGTATCGTTAGTAGTATTTATTTTGGCATTTCGTGGTTTCCACTGCGAATAAACATGCATTTCTGAATCCATAGCCACAACTAAAATTCCATCACGTACCCATGATATTTGCATAGGTAGCGGGGGAAGACCATCAGCTGTTTGTAAATCAATTTGCCGCAGTTTCATCCAACGAATTTCATTAAATTTTGGTTGTGCTAGTGAGCTTGCTTTCCGCAAAATAGGACGATTAACTGACCTCGATTCTTTCATGGCCTTTATATTTGCTTGTGCGATATCGGATGAAACAGGAGTATACAATAATATTTTACTTCCGACTGCAACCGTCAAAATATGTGAACCATCTTCTTTCGAAACCCAATCAAGTTGAACTAAATGTTTTTGTGTAAGAGGACAAGTATTTCCATTTTCTGCAATATTTTTTTTTAATGATTGCAATGTGCTGAAGCTTGGTACAGCTAAAAGACCTGTGGGTGATTTAATAGATGATTCGGATGTGGTATCCTCACTATTTGCTACCCTGGTATCATCATGAGTTAATGTGTGTAAAACTTGATTTAATCTATGACGTTTTTTAATCAAACGATTATCATAGAGGTAACTCAAATCAATTCCATAATCAATATTAATTCGAGGTAAGTTTATATTTTTTAAGTATATGGTGTCTTCAAGCACCCATTCACTTCCGCCTGAACTCTCACATTCGTAAATTGCAACACATAAATTTATGTACCTAGAATCAGAATCCCCTCCTAGGGGTCGTGTGAAGCTTTTTCCATATTTATAAGCACAAGCTATTCGACCCGAGTATGCAACACTTATATTTAATGGTTGACCAGAAATTTCTATAGCTGAACTTTGTTGTTTACTTATCATTTTCCATTCTGACCATATAAATAAATTTGTGTCATTTATATCTGTATCTGCTACAGGCTCACATTTCCAAAATCGAGAAACTGAGTCTGAACAGGCTGTTACAATTATGTAAGGCGCATAACATGCTGGATATATGGAAGAAGAGCTTAAATGGCCAGCCGCTGGAGAAGCATGAATTACGTCAACTCCTTCAGGCAAAGGAAGGTCTTGCGTACAAACTTTTTTTGTATTTATTGATATGTGAACTTCAGAATGAGTAAAAGGCCGAAATCCAAATGCTGCATTAGCTGATGACGTTCTGCGGAAACCTAATTCGCTATCTTCAAGTTCTTGTGTTAAATTACTATCAGGTACATACAAAGCTGATTCAGATAAAAACGAAGATTCTAATTTTGAAGATATTGTAATTTGCCATACATGAATTGTACTCCCCTTAATCGTTTTTTCAATAATAACAATAAAAAATGGTTCTTCAAACTCATTATTTTCATGTAAATCTACAATAGCATCCAAATCTGCTTCTAGAAGACCCTGACTATTGTTTAAGTATTTCGTTACAGATTTTCCTCCTGTTATTAATTGCTCTTGAAAAACATGTAGAAATTGTGTGTTTTGCCAATCGTGCTTTGCATCCGAAATTGGATCTAATTGAATAATACAACCAGGTCGAGATGTAGATTGCTGAGAGACTACTTTAATTTTATCATGCAATTTCGATTTTTGCATTTTAATTGTTGATGATGCATTGGAATAAAGTGAAGCCAATGAATTTGATTTTTGTAAGACATTTTCAGAAGTAGATATTTCTGCTAATAAAGTTCGAGCGTCAATTACTGCTTGATATACACGTAAATGTTCTCCGTCACTAGCTACAAAACATGCTGATGGAGAATTACTGTAACTACCTAAAGTAGTACTAGGTAATAATGTTGGAATCCATGCAACATTACTAAATGCAGAAATTTCGGGAGAATTAATTCTAGCCAACTCACTAAGTCCACCAGAGTAACACAATGGTCCAACAGAGTCAACTCTCCATAATATGAGCTCAGAACAAAATCCTAAACAAGTTAACATGTTCTGATTTTCCAAAAATTGATTTTCAAAACTATTTTGTTTTTCTGGCTCTGACAAATTATGATGAGAAGTTGAGACTAATAAGGGCAAACCTGGATGACAAGTTATATCATTTACCCTAAACCTATGACCAGATGCACGACAAATATGTCCAATACTTAATACCTGAGTAAATTTAGTTTTAAGCCCAAAAGTAAGTTGCCATAAATTAAGCGTGCCGTTTGAATGTTTAGTTACCATTGAAACCGATGGTGAAGCTGTTGTTTGTATATTATTTTGATGTTCACCAATAGTTTCATTTGATTTATCACAGTCAGCTTTATTATCCTTACTGTAATCTATTATAGAATGGTCTTCTTCTTTAATGGATGCTTTTTCTATATCATTTGCATCTACATTCTTGCTTTTTACATTATTACCTATTTCTCTAAATACCAATTGATGAAAACCCGTATTATATAGATTTACTGTTGTTGACATTGACATTGAATCGCCAAGTGGAAAAGCGGAAGGAATTCTGGTAGAAAATGATATTTGAGCTTGCCGAAATAAACCCGGATGAAAATCATCTAACCATTCTATAACCCAAATAAGATAACTGCCGTCAACTGGATGAATAGAAAACAATAAATCTGGGCTTTGATGCCAATCTTTTAAGAGACAATCAATTTTCATATCCAAAGAATCTGATTGGAATGGATTAGCTAAATGACTGTGTTCATTATTCAATGAATTAAGAGATGTTGTATTTGATATAGTGTTTATACTCTGCACACCGCTTGGAGCACTTTGGTAAACAGATTGTTTACTATTAATTACATTTTCATATGTATTTCCATCATCCACTGACACAGATTTGGATGACGTTTTGATATGTTTCGCTTTCATGTAACATATATCAAAATCAGATTGTTCAGATAAGTGATTAACAGAAATATTTCCGTTTTCTTCGTCTATTACTTTTTTTGTTAGTTCTTGCAAAATTGCTTCAGCTTGAATGGAAAAATGCATTTCTTTATTATTTAACCAATGAAGAATAAATATATTCTGATTTGACGGATCTGTAGACTTCATTGATGGAACCAGTGGAATATCAGTTTCAGCATTAATAGATGCAGCCAAATGAAAATGCATACCAGGCGATATTCCAGTTCCATGAAATCCATAAGAATGAAAATCATGAACGCTGCATGACGAAGGCAGAGATGGTATGGTTCCATGAAAAACATCTTCCAAAGTATTTACAGACGAGTTTCCAATTTTTGCATGCCGTCTTATATGAAAACAAGTTTTCATATGTTTGAGCCTCTGCATAAAACGATGTTTGTGCCGATGAGTTCTAAACTTCGGGTTTTGCGATGCTAAAGGATCAAATTGGGTCATATTAACAAGACCATCATCAGGTAATACAGTTTCAATCCAAATACGGCAAATATTGTCTAAACAAGATGTCACAATCATGTTTGAAACAGATCCCTTTGGCATGTACTTGCTTGTCTTACGCCATGCTATATTAGTTACAGCACGCGGATGTGCAATGTACACATATGTAAATTTAAGGTCAAAATCATTTGTAAATGCTTTTTTTCCAGAATTTGTTGATGGAAATAATACTATAATATCAATATTAAAACAATTTGCATTTCGAGTTTATGGTAATACAAATACAAATTTTACCTTGTTTGTTTTCATACCAAATTTTCACAAGTCTGTCATTTCGACCACATGTTGCAAATAATGTTCCATCCGGACTAAATGCTAAATGATATATTGGAATTGCTGTTTGACATATCCATATATTTTCCCATGAAGTGGAGTTATCTTCAACGGTTCCACTTGATGCTGTTTTCATTTCACGATCATATCCACCAATCATAAACTTAACACCTTAAAAATAAAATTAGTTGATATATAAATCTTTTTATTTATTTTTATACTGTTTGCTTCCTCTTCAAATTCCTCCGGAGATTTTTCTTTCCACAACTGAATGGTTGATCCACCTGTTAAGAGACGTGTACCTTCTAAGTTCCATGATAGAGTTATAATAAGAGAATGACTTAAAAAAGATCCTGTTTGTACCCATCTAGAATATAAAGAATAATATGCTATAAAACGAATTTATTTTGATATTTTTATTAAAAAGAAAGAAAAGGAATATAAGTTTATTGTAGGCAAATATGCGGTTCATTTCCAATGTTTTTTAGAAATACAAGGTGTTAAAAAAAATACAGGTTAGTTTGCATTTTATTTATGCATTCCAGATATCGTTAAAATAGCTACGTCTTAGCAGAAGCCAAAGTATACATTTAAACTTGAAACTTAATTGAAGCTTTTGGGTAAACATAAGAAAGAAAGAAATAAAATTTATAAACATATACAAACCCATTATAACGAAAATATAGTTGAAAAAAAAACGGAAATATACAAGTAAAAAAAAAAATCCCAATAACTTGATAAATGTGTCAAGACCACTGGTTAGCAGCTAGGAAATTATCAATTAAACACAGAAGGCATTAGTAGAGCTAAATTTCACTAATTGTTACTTTTGAATAGCAATACAATTCTTAAATGGTTTAAGAATTATCGCAGAGTTCTAATTTAAAACTAAAAATTGGCCAGAAATCTTTATACCTTCAGCAAAAATAGCGAAATTGTTGAGCTTAATATTAACTGATAAAACAGTGTCCGCCGTATTTGATTCTTTTTATAACAAAAAAAAAATTTTCCTAAACATTCAATTCAATAAATTTATGTATATATTTATGATTCCATTGGTGCTGAATTTCTGTTGTTTATCGGCGAAAAACTTGGCCAAGTGATTATTAACGGCTCTTTTGTCTGCCAATTCTTTACCATTAATAGTGTTTTACAAGCACCGAAACAAATGGTGTATAAGGCAAGGTCCAGGCTATATAGTTAATACATCAAAACTTCCGACAATTTGTTTCGAGTCATCTAATATATTTGTTTCATTCAAAAGGTCAAAAATAGAGATAGTAAGCTAAAAGCTTTTAAGATACAAATGGAGAAAGCAGAAAGTAAAACATATGAAACGTGTAATGATATATATTATAGGAAAACTAATAGGAACACCCTATTATATTGTGTACCAAAAATAATGAAGTCAGAAGTATTACATATGTACCATGTTTTTAAAGATGTAATTTAATATCAGTTAGGTTTCGAAAAGTAGTGAACTACACCAAGAATTCTATTTATATTCTTTTAATTAATAGAATTTTTGGCTGAATATACAGCTGTTTCGAGTATTGTCAAATACCCATCATCAGTGGTCTTGGAATTATTTCTTGCATTTAATAACTCAAATAATTTTTTGAGACTGGAAGTACAATAGGTTGAATCCGTGCCCTGTCAAATTTGAAGCTCCGGTTTAGTGTTCTTTAGCCAACTGGCTAAGTACGGCTAAAGCCGTACTTGACTTATAAGTTCAAACTTATATTTTTTTTGTTGATCTGCTGTGAAAGTTCATTAACAAATTCATTTTATTTGAACGAAATCAAAATTAATTAATTAATTACATTTTCATTTTCAATTGTTAAATTTCATATTATTCCTTTGAGGCATTATTTAGTAGGCAAAAAAATAAGATTGAAATTTAACAATTTAAAATATATGTTAAATATAATAAATAATAGAGGGTTATCGAATAGCAAAGAAAGGATAAACACAAAAATTTATTTAATTTTATTGAAGTTTGGCTGACCATACAACGCAGTTTTAAGTATTGTCAAGTACTCATCATCAGTGGTCTTAGGAAATAATCTAATTTTTATTTAATTTATAGTCCGTATATAATTTGTTTGGACTGCAAGTGCCAGGCTTAGAACTCGTGCCTGTCAAATAAGAAGCAATGACTAATCGTATTTATCCACAAGTAGCCAAGACTGCACAAACTTTCAGTGCTCTAGTTCCAGGTTTTTTGTCACTTATTTATTTAATTAGTGACATTAATCAAAGCACATGCCATGCTTCAAATTAGAACGAGCTTATAAACTACCCTCTAAATTTTAAATATGGCTTTTTTGTCACTATATAAATAAAGCGTAGTTTTTTCAGCAGCACTAATATTTACTTTATAATAAATAATGAAATTTTTTGATTTTCTGACTATTCAATATGCAAAAGAAGTCATTTTTCTAATCTTTAAAGTTTGTAAAGAATACAAATGTTAATTTTAGAATGATTTTCGAGTCGTATATTGTAATGTTAGGTTAATGCTAGAATTACACTCGAACAAAATTACGTCTCAAACTTAAGACCAGTATATATATATCAGTTAATAAGCAAATTAAACTCAGAAGTGATTGGAAGTTATACATCGTTCACCAAACATAAAGAAAGAACTATAACTGTACACAACAAACATTGCATAGCGTACTATTAAATTATTAAAGTACATCAACTGAGTATTTTGAAATTACTGATTTTATTTCAATTTATACAAAACTAACTTAACTATTTTATCATCAAGGTTGAAACAATCTGTTGTCTGCTATCGCTTATTTTAGTGGACTATATTATGTTTAAATACATTTCATTCTTGTCGCAAAAAAGATTCAGGATTTTTCTTTCTATTGTCTTTACAAATATATTTTTATTATCATAATTAGATGCGGTGCCTTGTGTGTCATAAAAAATTTAAAAATCTTACAATGTTTGCTATTTTAGTTCAGAGTACTTTCTACCCATGTTTTTTTTAGTTCATAATTCTGAGAATTTAAACGATAGCAGACTTCTAATAAACTGAAAAATACGTATACATGCATGAGCATTCTGCCGAGGGCTAAAATTTAGAAAAACTAATATTTGTTGCCTTGTATATTTCCTTATGGCATAAATAGTTACAGTAATACTTATACCTAAAACTAAAATAAGTGAGGCGTGTCCACTGACATGATGAAAGTTTAGACCCTTCAGCTTTATAATTTTCGCCTTTACCTCATTCGCCTACTTCATAATGTCCAGAATTTATGTGGAATGATTCACGACCATTGAGCCTAAAGGTAATATACTAAATTCTGGTATTTTTGTCATATTTGTTGTCAAAAAAACTTGGTCTGCTTGAAGTTTGGATTCTATTATATCTAATGCCGTCATTGTTCCGAAAAAGATATGTTGAAACGATCCAATGAATTCAAAGGGTGCTCTTTTGGATCTTTTAATATTTTGTGGAAATATGTTAGATATTGATTCGTATTGTTTATATTCTTTACTTGTCATTTCATTGCGTCCCAAAGACGATTACACTGCCCGTCAAAAGTTTGTAAATTTTCACAGGTTTTCCTCATTGTGATTAAAATTTTATCTGCTTGTTTTATCTTGTCGAAAAACGGGTTTAAATTAAGGTATACTACCATATTCCATGATGATGCAATTACGTCTACTGATTCAATTCCACACCCAATAACAAGATTAAGCTAAGAAAATAAGAAACTCCTCACGTAGCTGAAGGTCGTTGCTTCGCTTTCGCACATAATTAACGTCTCTTGTATTTTGTATTTTTCATCGCATGTAGATTGTTCTAATGGACATAATTTTTGTACCATTCTTTTCATATCGCCAAGTGCTGTTTTGACTGTAACCGTTCTTATGAGACCATCATTCTCCGGGTAGATTTCTATTACCTTTGCCGGTGGCCACCCTGGCTAGATACGTTTCTTCATTTTTTATTAAAATCACTTGCCTTTTTTCCAAATTGTCATGTGGAACTTTCCATTTGTACCTCCATTGGAAGGATGACAAATACTTCACTTTTCATTTTTTTCAATAATTCATTATTAATTTCTTTAATGGTTTCCACCGGTTTCAATTACTAATTGCACCCTTTGAAACTGGTTAACGGACGCTTAATAACGATCTTATTATTGCATTTTTCTTTATATTCAACCAATTTGGAGTTAATGAATTTAACTTCCGATACTTTTGCGTTTTTCTCTGATACCGTTATTATATTACTTTGTAATAGCATCTCAATTTTTGAAAGTAATGTGAAAGGATTAGTGGAACAGTAATCTTGAGTTAATTTTCTCCATTCTGCAAGTTCATCTTTTTCATGTTTTAACTTAACCTGTAGAGCGGCTGTGCTTCCTTATTCCATTTCAAGTTGCTTTTTTAAATCATATATTTGTTCTTCAATCAATAGTTTATCACCATTTAAATGTTTATTTTCGGTACGCAAAAACCTAACCTCTTTTTCCATCTCAGTAATGTTTGATAAATACGAATGATTATTGTTATTCTTATTATTCTTTGAACAACTTTCATTCTAGCTCTATGATGCCCCGACTGTTAAATTCAATAAACATCATTGATCTTCGTTATTACCTTATATGGTCCTTTCCAATGGGTCTGTAGTTTTGAAGACAAGACCTTCTTCCGTTGTGGATTATGGAACCACACTAGGTCTCCTTGCTGGAAACCTTCTAAATTCCTTCTCAAATCACACCTGACCTTCATTTTGTCACTGGTGAGTAGGAGCCGTCTTCTGATGATGAATTTAATCTAATTGGGCCCGCTTACTTCCAGTGTAGTCACATGTCATCTTGCCGCAAGATGGCGTTATTCCAAATTTCAAGTCAGCGGATAATCTGACACCGGTGCCAAAAACTGTTTTTTGGTGTAACTGTTTTTTGTTCTTTACTGAGGTACTCGTTTAATGTATGATTGAATGATTCAACCATACCATTTGACTGAGGATGTAGATGCGTTGTACGAGTTTTATTTATTCCTAGTAACGTGCAAACTTCTCTGAAAATTGTTGACTCGAAATTTCGCCCTTGGTCTGAATGCAGTTTCAGTGAAACACCAAATCGCGTAACCCATTTGTTTATGAAAACTTCTGCAATCATGCTAGATTCCTGTTTTGGAATTGGATACACTTCTGGCCACCACTTCAGTTACTACTAACATGTACTTATTTCGCGCGTTACTAGTAGGGAAAGGTTCAACGATATCCATTGCAATTCGCTCAAAAGGAGCACCAAAATTATATTGTTGCATTTTACCACGACTTCTAGTACTCGGAAATTTTGAAAGGAAAGAACGCATTTCAGTATAGCATCCGCAACCGG